GCAATTATTAGTAATAGCCAAAAGTGCGTACTTGCTTTGTTTGAAGCGGATCGGCGGATTTATTGATTTCATATAGAAAACTTCAAAAATGATTTTCTTAAAAACATTTTCTTCTAGTAGAAGTTCCTTATTCGCGGGGTTATACTCCATATATCGAATATTTATGTGGCATATTATATAAGAAAAATAAATAAATAAAAGTCATTTTTTATATTATTTATTTTTTTGAACATTTTGATTAACTTTAAGGTAAAACAATGGTTTGAATAACTTTGTAATATTCTCTTCAAATCAAACTTAATACTCAGCAGCCGTAACAGTGATCTGTCTTTTACAAATAAGACTTCGTTCCATATATGGATCATCACATAGGAATCGCGCAGAAATTTGTCATTTTTTTAAATCTTCAGTAAGATTTTTCAAATTAAATGTCACGTTTCTATTGTTTGTTGAAGCAGTTAATGATCTACTTCAATTGACTGGGAACGTGGGTTTTATGTCGGTTTGAGTCAAATTTTACTAAAATTATTTTTTTATTGGGTAATAAATAAGGTTTATTATCATTGTGTTTATGCATTATCAAAATCATCGATAGCGGTGAATTCATTTGGCATTGGAAATGATGGCATATACAAAGAATATTGGGTTCGATATTTGTTGGAATTCGCAAATAACAAAATTTTTAGTCGCGAATATATAGGAATTGAGTCGCTTTTTTTTGTCCGTGAATTGCCAAATCGAACACGAAGGAAACGCAATTAAGGGGGTGTTCTAGTGTAGAAATTCAAAAAAATCGATTTTTTATGTCATATTTTTAAAGTTTAACTATCTAAGAATATGGGTACGGGAAGGTTTTTGAAAATTTGAATTATTTTCGGAAATATAGGCATTTTACTGACTCGGTCTTCATACTGGTTTGGCTTCACGCAAAACTTTAAATGCGTTTTTCTCAGAACTTACTTTTTCAGTACTCTTGTCACGATTTCTAGAGTTCTACTCGACTAATTTATTTGAAATTTTCAGAGAGTCTTGTTTATAGATCTATCTATAATCTGAACTAGAATCATCCCTAAATTCTTATTTTTACTATTTTTAAAAAATTCGAGAAACTCAAAAAAACAGTAAAAAAAAATTTTTTTTTTTCAAATAGTCGCCAATTTGTGAAAAATTTTTTACTCATCGCTAGTTGGCCGATTGCAACATCATTATAGATTAATAATCTTTTTATTTTTTGCATTTCCGATGGCTAGGAGGGCTGAAATCATGTCAAGACTGAGGTGCCAATTTTTTGAGACCACCGATTTCATCAGCTGCCAGTTTTTACAATTTTCAACTTTTTTATTTTTTAATTTTTGTTTTGTATTTTAATAATATTAATAAACAAGTCGTAAAAAATGGATAGTAAAAACATTCATTGCTTTCTTTTACGACACTTTAAAAATGACCTAAAATTCATCGCTCTACACTAGAATACAGGGGCGTAACGTGCCTTGGTGGGACCCCATATCAAAATTGGTTTGGGGGCGCCCCTAAAGATTTTTCATAATTTAAAGAAACATAAAAAGATTAATAAATTCATTTAATAAAATTAAAAGAACATTTATTTATCAAATTTTCAAATATACATCGAATATTATTCTTAATATTTTACAAGTAACTAAAATTAAATATTCACTCTCCTTGCCTTTTTATCCGCAAACTGATTTATTAAGTCATTTATAGCTGATGATGTTTTTAGTTTTATAATGTTTCTGCCTCTATGGACAATAGAGACAGGTCTGATAGACGTTTCTGTTTTATTGATGTTCTGAGGTAATTTTTGATTAATTTTAATTTTGAAAAACTCCTTTCAGCAGTTGCGGTTGTAACTGGAAGGGTCAAGAGTAAAATGCAAGCTGTTATTACATCCGGAAAACTGGATGCAATATACTATTAATCTACATTTAGTTAAATCGATTCCATATTGATTAAATATATTCAAAATTTCAATTTTAAGTCCTTCGGCTCTGCTGTCAGATACTGCTACAAATCCCAAAAATGATTCACAGATTTTTAATTCTTTAGGCACATTATTACCATCTGCTATCGAGATGTATCGGAAAACCAGAGAAAGTTGGTCAATCTTTGACAAATCTTGCGTTGTATCTAAAATTATTATGGAAACGGGGCCTTTTTAATTTCTGAAATAATATTGTTCCTAACTGCGGTTCCTAACAAACTTATAATTTCATTTTGGATCAAAGGGCTTAAATAATTTATTGCTCCCGTTGGTTTTAAAAGAAGTTCTTTCAAAACAGCATCATAATTCGATAGCAAACGCAAAATTGACATAAAACTTCCAGAATCGGAGTCATGGCCTTTTAAAGGTAAATTGCAAGATGCTAATGTTATTATAACATTACTTATACGATGCAATACATCTTACCAAAATGTAATTTTGCAATTAATTTCACTTGACAATTGAGTATCGATAGTATTTCCTTGCAGCCAATTATTATGAGAAAGGGGCACATTAATATGCTGCTGTGACTTTTCATGTTCAAGTAAAGTTTGTGTAAAATTGCTTCTAATAGAAACACCGTTAACCCATGCAGAGGAGTATGATTTACTACGACAATCCGCTAATAACCAACAAAAGTGACAGTATGGTTTGTTTAAAATATTAGAATAACATAACCATGGTTTTGAAATCTTTATGCCTGCTTTATTAGTATATAAATAATGATAAACAGAAAAAGAACGGTTACAAAATAATTCACAATCAACTGAAATATGTGAATAACCCCCGCTGTCTTTCAATATATAAAACCTTCGACTAACTCTGGCAATTATCATATGATTGTATTTTTTCTAACGTCTTTATTTCTGTACCAAATGTTGTACTTCTTGTCCATTTTGGGTCAGTTGTAAAAAATATTACTTATTAAAAGAAATCCCTGCTGTTCGTTCGTCGCTTGTCAACATATCATTGTATTTTGGGTACGCATAACTGAACATTGTTTATTGAGGGTTTTTCATTGATTATTGAGGGTTAAACGGGGAAACCCCGTAGGCAAAACATGCCGATAATCGATGTAGGTTGTCCCGACAATAAAAATAAATAGATTTTTTGACTTTGTCGTTTGTGAAATAAATAAAAAGTTTTTCTCAATTCCTGTTAACGCTCGTTGGGGGCCCCCTGGGGCCCCGTATCTTTGATACGGCTGATACGGCGGTAGTTACGCCCCTGCTAGAATACCCCCTTAAGGAACGTCTACTGTATATAATATTTTAATTAATCAATTAATTTATATTTATTATCCTATTCTTATACTCTCCAAATCTATGGAAATAATTTATAATTTATTCTGTATTCTATACCGCGGTACGAATTAAGCGATTTGAACTAATTCGAGGTTTTTTATAGTTACCATACAACGCGATTGCCTTCCGTAAAATTGCACTGATTAGCCAGTGTATTAGTAAGTTAAATTTAGTTTTTTATATGTCAACTAAGATTGGATTTTAAAGAAACTTTATTAAAGTTTTTTCAGTAGTTGAGTTTGGTTAAAACATTTTAAATATACAAAGAAAGAGAAGCTTACAATACACAAATCCAATATATTATACGAGCTACTAATTGCTACTAATTTTATACTTCGTAATAAGCCTACTATATTTTTATGCATCTACTCGTAGAATATACATGCAAAATTTGTTTAATATTTCATTTATGAGCTTAAGTTTCCTGTGGACACATTGTTTTGTCTCGAGAATTTGTCAGGTAACATATCTGATATCGTCAAAACTATTCAGTTGGGATGTTAATGCTGTAAGAAAGTGTCAAATTTCGATTATTGTTTGCTTCTAATAATTGCAATTTGATATGTAAACTGTAGTTTACAATGAACATTTACAATCAATATATTGAGTGAAAATATTCATTGTTTGCACTAACAATGACCGGAAAAAATATTAGCGAATTGTTTCCAATGTAGCTGCTTTTTATTCTAACAGCTGTCAGAACTAGGTGTTCTATAATCTGTTTTGATGTACATTTCAACCCAGAGTTTCTAGAAGGCAACTCAGTGGTTGACCAATTTCTTTTCGATGAGATTATATTAGATTATTTTCAATATAGACTGCAAATAACCCTGAAAAGCTGATTTCACTTGATATCATATTTGAGATTTGTAATGGGTCTAATGTCTTATCATTAAATATATCTAAGATTGATATAATAATGTTTTGAACATTTAAAAATAACAATTGATACCATTTATTTGGTTTGACTATCACCGTTTTCAACATCTATTGTAAGATATTGAATTGAAGGACACTGAAAAAGTTGTTTCCTGATTTTTGGATTTTCTGAACGAATTGTGTGATCGAATCTTGGGCAGAATTTGACCGATATTAAGAATTCAACTAAGTAAATTACTAATTGAATTTTACAATTTATAAAATTGAATGCAAGCGAAAAATATGATATGAACATCAACATCTAATTATTGTTATTAAATACTGAAAAAAGACAAACTTCTATTAGATCTCTTCAAACTTTAATCTAACATAATTAGCATCTAATCTTCTAATCTTAAATAATATCCATTATTTAAGACAAGGAAATGTAAAGTTAGTTATTATGCTCAAACAATACACAAAATATCCATCCATCGTGCAAATTATCAGCAACAGTAACAGCCAAAAGCGCGCAATTAATACTTACTTTATTATTATTCTATTATTAAAAAACCTTTGAAGCGGGTTGGCGGTTCTTCTTATGTACATCATTAATTTATGCATAACCAATTAATATTACGAGCTATTAATTAGCCGGACTCAATAAAATTTGTCGTACGATCACACCAAGCATTTCTTGAACATTTGATGTGGTTGGAGAAAGTAACTTGATAGCTGAAAATTTATAATAAGTACCAAGACTCAAGAGTATTCTAAGTAATAATATACACAAAGACGTAATATAATTGAAACATCTTATAATTTATTTACTACTTTCAATGTGTTTTTTTATTCCATTCCAGTATCGGAGATCTCAATCAGAAGGTGTTTCATGTATCAGTAGCTTAGGAGCTGAATACGAGCAAAGGAAACGAGAACTCTTACTAGCACGCAACAGGGACTACAAGGAATATTTGGCGAAGGTATAGTTATAATAAATTAGGTGTAAGTGGCATTTTGCTTTAAGGCAACTTGTATGAACTTCCCGATAAGTGTTTTAATAGCCTAAATCGTTAGAAATTCAGATATAATTATTTAGATGTTTTTAACTTTTTTGAAAATAAACATATTGCTTTTATTAAAAACTAGTGAATGCAATTTTCAATAATTATATTAATTATAGTGCACAAACGCATACTTGCAAGTTCTAAAACGCGGGCCCATTGTTACTAATTTTAATTGATTTATATAATTCAACCAATTTTCGTAGGCCTCTACTATTTTAGGATGTTTATAAAATGCATGAACTCTGACACCATATTAAATATCATTGAAAACGTAAAAATAGTATAGTTTTATAGTTTTATATAGCCATATTAAATTATGTATTAAAAGTAATAATATAATTATAATAAATATAAGCCATCAGCACTATTTCCCGTTGATATCTTTCAAACGATTTTTCAATTTTCAAAATCGGTTTAGGATTTTTTGCGAAAACGTGTACAAAAATTTTTGCACCTTTCTGCTGATAACAAAGAAACGGCTTGGTCGATCATCTCGCATCGAGTTACATAGAAATTGTTTTTAATGTTTGAAGTCGGTTTATCCGTTTTTCTTCTTTAATTACACACACATACTATTTTAAAGTTGGTCTCAAACGATTTAGAATGACTTGATTTTCTGGCGAAAACAAACCTTTTCTTCAGGAAGTTTACGATTTATTATCTTCCCGTAGGGTAAGTTATTGTAATGGGCCGAAAATCGGAATTGGAAATTTTTACATTTCTCGACGTTTTGAAGGTTTCTGAACATTTTGGCATACCTCAGACAAAATGGATGTGTGTGTGTGTGTGTGTATGTATGTATGGATACAAAGTCACCTTTTCGGGAGCACGGATCAACCGATTTGAATGGTTCAAAAAACATTCGATTCCTATCGATAGGAAAAAGAGCTGATTAGTTTTTGGCAAAGGCAGGTCCAGCCGTTTCGAGAATACGGAGCAAAGAGTGCAGAAAATAGAAATCGACTTTTTGAGAGAACGGAGTATCCGATTTGAATGATCTTTCTATTCAATTAGTAATGATTGGGAGAAGTGTTTATTAGTTTTTGGCAAAGGCAGGCCTAGCCATTTCAAAGATACGAAGTTAAATATGTAAAAAATGGCAGTTAAGTTAAGTTTTAAGAGAACTAAGCGTCTGATTTGAATGATTCAAAGAACTTTATGCTAGTCTTAACAAAATAATTGATTTTGGAAAAAAAATTTTTGTTTCATTTTTTTTTTTTTTAATTTCTTGTATATCGAAAATAATTCAGAGTTTATTTTTAATTCTGACTATAGTTCTAATATACTTTAAACAAATAATTTCAAGTTTGCAATTCAGTTCATATAATTCTTATAAATATTAGATAATGTTACAATATTTATAATAATCTATTTGAAAACATTCAGTAATCCTCGAACATTTCGTTACGGTACGGGAAGTTCCAGCAATTTGCCTTAAGGCACGATGCCACCCACACCACTAGTTTGAAATTTAATTAATGATATGAATAACATAATAAAATCCATTAATTTTTTTGATAACGTTTTTATTCCTGATAAATGATTCACTATGCACTATGCCAGGGGTCGGCAACCAGATTGCCGTTAAGGGCGCAAAACTAAATCTGAAAATTATCGAGGGCGCATCGGTATGAAAAAAAAAGATTTTTCATAACTTTATTCTCTTAGTATAATATATTATATACATTACGAACATTCAGTACATTGATAAACGAAGAGTATGATTTAATAATACCTAATTATAATACATATAATTTATAATACATATAATTTAGTGTGAAATTTGTGTGTCCGTATTTTCAGCTATTTTTTTATAATCGGGAATATAATTAAAGTTCCCTGTCCGCAAACAGCTAACTAAATATGTGGCATTTAACTTTGTTCGGTATTTTAATTTCAAATATTTCATATTTAAAAACAAAGACTCGCAATTGTATGTTGTTGCACAATATGAGTAAATTTTTAGCGCACATTTCCTTAAAATAGGATACTTATTTTCATTGACTTCCAAAACATTTATCATTACTATGTGCTTTTAAAATAATACCTTTTTGCAAGTTTATTATTTCTAACTCCACGTCTTCGATATTACTAATCTCGAAATACACTGAAACACTTTGCAGAAGATCATCTTCGGCAACATTGAATGGGTTTATAAAAAATCCTAGAACAGGTTCTAGTGCTGCAAAATCTTGAACAAAACTTCTGCCAATTTGTCTATAACTTCTAAATATGATATAGTAGTAAAATTTTCTATATTTATTTTTAGACTTTCAACAATATGCCTTATATTTGGAAAATATGAAATTGATTTATGCTAAGGTTATCATACATTTACATTAACCGAGGGCGCATTGAAAGTTGACCGAGGGCGCCATGGCGCCCGCGGGCGCCGCGTTGCCGACCTCTGCACTATGCTATAAAATAATAATAATAATTTGCTTTAAATTTCTTATATTTGTAGCAAAAATCTTTGGAGCAAAAATCTAAAATAAAACGGAAATATGACAGTGATTACGCCGACTCTGATGCATATAGTACATCAGGCTTTACCAATGCGACAGCTACTCAGACTCAGACCAGGAATAGATTTGAAACGCAGGAAACGAGTACCCGTCAGAAGAAATGCACAATCGCTGTACAAACAGAGCCATTACGCTCGTTAGTATGTAATGTGATATTTCTATACACTATATATTTTCTTAAATTTAAAAATATATATTTTATTATATGTCAAACATTTTACATTTAACAATTATTTTAAACATAATTTTATGCGGAAAAAAATTCTTACTTAGATGAAAAATATTTTATAACAGGGTGGATCTTTATATGACAATTCCATTTTATTTTTTTTTCTATTTCATATTTCAGTTTTAATTGTACATATTTTAAAAAAACCACAAACGCATTTTGTATTTTGGAGCAACAATTTTTGTCTGCATTTGTCTATTTTCTTATGCAATACTTATTTTATAACTTATATTCGTTTTTGCAATAAATAGAATGGTGCACTCCTAAAACGTAGTTTTATAACTCCATTATTATTCGAACTCTTAGTGAAAAAATTGTATTTTCACTTATTTGTTTGATGAATTTTTATTTAACTAATAAATTTAATTTCACTATTTCAGACTTTCAACGAAAGATCTCGCAACAGGCCAGCTTATCGTAATAGGAGCCTAGATTTAATATCTTTTGGTGGAGGCGATTCTCATGATAGGGAAAATGATGTAGATGGTTCCGAGCATGTGATGTCAGTTTTGAGGCCAATTCATGATGAACGATCGTTGATCCGGCATCCAAAAGCTTTATCCAAGAGAAAAATGATCGAACAACTACGTTCTTCTTACTATCCTAGCTTTGGAGACTCTTTTGAAACGCCAGAAGAAAGAAAAATTCGTTTAGCTAAGGTAACCAATACAAATCCTAAATCGGTAACGCGTGGCGTTATGCAATCAGAAAAATTACTGAAACTTTTTAAATCAAAGTTTTGAATCCAAGAATTTACTTTAAACAAAATATAAGTTTAGGTTATATATAATATAATTATAAGTTCTATGACAAAGTACTGGAATCTAATACTATTTTTAATAATGTAAGGAAGAAGCTAGAAAACGTGAAATTTACCAGATGGAATTGAGTGAACAAATAAGAGAAAAACGCCTGGAAATGGAAGCCAAGCAGCGCAAAGAAATGGAGGAAGAAGAAGCGTTGGCTAGAAGGCTTGAAGCACAAATTCAGAACATGCAGATGGAGCGTGATCTGGAACTTTTGTCACAAGAAAACAGAAAGGAAAAGGTATGAAAATATACATATATGTGAGTTAATGTATAAAAGTCAACAATAGTTATAGTAAAAGAATGACAACATTTTAACTTTCCAAAGGGAAAGTTTGTTTTCGGGAGAAAATCCGATTTGTTAATTTTATATATTCCCGGCGATTTAAGTCATTCTGAATCCAACGAGACCAAATTTGGAAAATGTGTATGTGAGAGAGAGCCGATTTTTACGGCTGAACCGGTTTAAAAAAATTAAAAGCCATTCGATGAAACTTGATAAGCACTCGTGTTGCTTAATATTTAACTTCGCGTAGAGTAAGTTATAGTAATCGCAAAAAAATCGAAAATGAGAATTTTTGCATATCTTTACGTTTCAAAGGTTTCTGAACATTTTTGCATACCTTATATTAGAAAAACATTGATGTATGTGTGTGTATATGTGTGTGCGGATACAAATTTTCGTCGGAACTACTTCGGGGAACACTGATCAACCGATTTGAATAATTCAAAAAACATTCGATTCGTTTTGAGTGATTCGAAAAACATTTTATTTGTATTTACGAAATGAAGAAGATTTTCAATTTTTGTGTAGGCAGGTCTAGGGGTTCTAAAATAATCATTATAGACATATGCACATCAAATTATCAGATATTCTATAGATATTTCAATAATAAGAACAAATTTTATTACAATTTTTTTGGGTTCCGTACCAAGATTTTTAATTTTTAAAGTTCACTTATACGGTTCAAATAAATTTCAAAATCTTCAGCATTTTTTTTTTTAATTTTCAAAAATATACATTTTAAAACTGTATATATTTCATATGCTTTATTCTACTTGTAAGAAATATATCAGATTCGGCATTTCTTCTTAATGTAAACTAAGATATATGTTGAAAATATTACAACAATTGTTAATAACCGTTTTTTTTGCTCGAATATTTAATTGTGGTACGGAAGGTTTCAGCAATATCACTAGTTTATTATTTATACGATCGGCCAAGCCGATTTTTCGTAATTGTTGCAAAAAAAAATTCAACGTTTTTAATGGAACTTGGAATGGCGATAGACTATAGACTACCTAGTCTTAATGAACATACTAAAATATTATAGTCCATACATACAGTTTTTTTATAAAAATTGATTATTACTTAGATTATGCGGCCGTATACTTTTAGAAAATACGGCATATATTTAGTTCGTTATTCAATAAGTTGTAATTGTGCAAAATTTAATAATTTACAATATACAACTATATTTATATATTAAAAATTAAAAATATAATCTTTTGCATGCTTGATAAAATATTTTTTAAAGTGTAATTTTTTTTTTTTTATAGATGAGAAAGAATTCTATAAGGTTCAACGAAAGAAAGAAACAGCTCCAACTAGAAGTTGAACAAGAAAAAGAAAGATTACGTCAAGCGCGAAAATCATGTCCCCATAACACACAACAACCGACAACATCTTTTGTTCCAACGAGGTCTAAATCCCCTCCTATACCGGCTTTGAAGAACAAACTCTTACCGTTTTCTACAAATATTGATTCTGATTCTGTCTTTGCAAATTCACTAACGAAAGATACAGAATCTCTAGCAGAACAAATTCATAAACTCAGTATCCCAAAGTCAAAAGAAATTACATATAAACATTTTGAAACTAACAGTACAATTAGTGAAGATTATGCGAGCAAAGTTGCTTCATGGGATATTTCAAATGGTTATCGAGATGACAGGAATGACAATAATAAGAGATCAGTTTCTGAAGACAGTGGTAGCCGCAGTAATTCAGACAGTGAATTTACAGGAAACAAGAAGCAGAGCTATTCTGAGGTAAATTATCTTTCATACAAATATATCATCTTTCCTCTTGACATATTTGGAAAATGCATCTACTTGCTATCTTACTAACTCAATATAATTAAAAACAAATATCATACTCAAAATAACATGTATTATATCAAGAATTTTTTAACATAAAATTATATAAAATATTTCAATTCATAATTATTTTTATATATAATATTTTTGATAACTATGCATACACATGTACAAAATAACTTTATTCAGTACAAAGGCATTTCATACACAAATCACAGCACTGACTTTAATTTAATACATAATAATGCAGCAATATTATTATTTTCCAGAGTTCTGTTAATGAAGACGATACTCACGATGATGAAAATTGTTTAACTAAAATACTTTCTGATGAAAAACTAGCTACAAATAGTATTTTAACACAGCTTGGCGCAATTAGGCGCCAGTTGCAAATGACTCAAATAGAATTGGATGAACGGCAATCGAAGTCATAAGTAAATTTGTCATTTTGAACGCTTTTATTACATATATATAAATATTTTCAGATCTATATAAGATTTTAAAAATCTTCAATTGACTAAAAAATTTAGTATCAAAAATGTATACGCAAAATCATGTTAAACAAAATATTAAAATCGTAAGAACGCCTCTAAACGTGGACCATGCCTTCCTAAAGGATCCATTGGAAACATTAAAAAATTTTGTACCCATGTAAACATCAACAGTCTGTGAAGAAAATAGGTTTGCATAAAATGTGAATAAACAGAAAACAATATTATTTTTACCTTTCTTCAATTGTTTTTGTCCAAGCAGGATTCTCATATAATAAGTCTCGATAATTATCATTTGAAACTATAACACCTTCAAATTCAGCGGCTGTTTGTATGATGTACCTATTTTCATAGTTTTATTCAAATTAGAACAAGTTTTAATTAAGTAAATAAAAACATTTCATAACTTTAATTTTAACATGTCGATTATGTTCAAATGGTACTCTATAACAAAAATTTTTAAGTTTAATAAAATAAAGAATTTTTTATTTCTGTCTTATCAATGATCAAGCAATGAATTCTTCTTCGAATGGAATATTCTTATAGATCAATTCTTTCAGAAAGTATAAAGGACTGTAATTTGAAGTGTATAAAGCCGTATTGTTTTACTTAATAAGCATTCTCTAATTGTATAACTTTATAATTAATTTATTTCTTAAATGATACTATTTTAATTAATAATAAACAAACCTGTCATCATAACTAGCTACAGTTTTTCCCCTAATTTTTCTGGAAGGAGTGCAAATAACTTTGCCTTGATTTTCCAATTCTTGCAATCTTTTGGGATTCGATGAAAAATTTGATGCAAGCCTACATAATGAAATATAGTTCAATCTCAAAGTTGATATTGTTAAGCATACAATGAATTACCTGAAATGGGGTATGAAAACTTTCACCATGTGTCCCCGCTTTTCAAAATAATCTATACATATCTCTATTCCTTCTACAGAAAAATCTCTGGTTCCTATTGCTATTCCATGTCTAAAAAAGAATTATTTTCACAAAAAGACCTTGAAATTCTAATTTTCATTAAATATATATATATATATATATATATATATATATATATATATAGTTTTTCAACATTTTGGCAGGTCATTGATTCAGTGTGAAATTTTATACAACGTGCATTATGCCCTATAATAGCAAAATACTCAATTAAGCAAACATATATCGTTAAAAGGGGGAGATATATTAATTTTCATTTTCTAATTACAGAGTAAAAAGTTGTAATGACACTCAATGCTACTTATACTTTTAGAAGTATATGCACAAAAAATGTCTCACACTGAGTCAAATGGCCAGCCAATAATATTCACAAAAGCAGAAAACAGTACATACTGCATAGCTACATTGCTTCCATCTACAATTATTGGCCTCAAACCAGTCTTATGTTTGAATACAACAGGATTATAAACATTATACCCTATATTGCTGCTAGAATCTCCTAAAGAAGGGATACTTTCTACAGAATTAATATTTGGTCTTTGAACTTGCGTACTTTCAATACTGCAAGTATTTTGTGTCTGAGGTTGAACAGATTTCTTCCTCAGACTTTCTTGAAATATTTTATTTTTTGCTCTTCTTGGCAAACTCTTTCTTGTTTTTATAATATTGGGTTTTATTTTATCACATGGTGAGTCTTGAATTACTATTACATCTTCAAGTTTGGGTTTTTTATTATGTGTGCCTGATTCTGCATCAGAATTATCACATAAATCAATAAATGAGGGAATTCGCTTCTTTCTCTTTTTTGAATCAGTATTTGGCAATACGATATTGTCTATTGAATCATCAATAACTATGAGACTATCTTTTCTATTGGCATTGTTTTTATTGGGTGTAGAACCAAATATGTTGGGATGTTTTGGAGCCCCATTGGCTGTCTGCAAAATAATTTTTGTATCATAATATACTCAACAACAAGTTTAAAATAAATTAACTCACAGAGATAAAGAACAAGTTTTAAAAAATATATTACACTATTTTGTAATTTTTTTGGTCACCATTGGATTGAATATGCTTATACAAAATTAAGAACATAGTTTTATTATACAATATATGCTTGCCTGTTTTGGTAATATAGTTGATAAATTGCAATTTTCTAAACTTTTGGTCACTTGACATTGTTTATTAGTAGCCTTGGTATTTTCTACAATTACTATATCACTTGAATCAGAAAGGATTTCGTCCTCTGAATCTACAACCTCAAGCAAAACATCATCACTATCATTAATCTTATGTGGCACTACGTTTTCTTTTTTAGATTTCTGGTTATTTTCCATTTTTGTTACACTTTTAACGGACCATGCCTTTGGTTTATTTCATAAACTTTTGTATTATATTATAAAAGTTTATGGCTTATTTACCTATTATCTTTGTATTTCAACAATACAATTATTAATTTAGACACAAAATTATTTCAAATACAATGCAATTAAAATAAAAACAAAATTCTATGCAAATATAATTTGAAAACCATTTGCTAAGCAAACAATTGCTACACTAAATGTCATTCTATTGTCTAACACAGTCCAATAGAGAGCGGGAGTGTGGTGAGTGTCAGAACGAGACAAAAACGGACAAAAGTTTTGTTGGTTTGGTATTGCGTGTCTAGGCTTCCATCTCATGACATAAATCATGGCGCGATTGTCAACATTCAAAACCTCTTGTCCTGGATTTTGTGTAATGTTAATAATGTTAATAAATTATTATATTGTTTAGGGTTAATAACTTACTTTGAATTATTAACTTCCCGAAGGAGGAGTTTATGTTTTCATCAAAAAATCCGATTTGTTAATTTTATGTTTTCTCGACGTTTCAAGCGATTCTGAATCGAATGAGACCAAATTTGGAAAAAGTATGTGCCCAAAAATGGCTGGACCGATTTCAAAAATTTAAAAACCATTTCGATGTATCTCGATGAGGACTAGCGTTTATCAATTTTGCGCGACGATCAGCCAAGCCATTTCTTTGTAAATAGAAGAAAAGTGAAAAAAATTTCGTCCACGTTTTAGCCCGCAGTTCTGAATCGATCTTGAAAATTCAAAAACCGTTCGAAAGATATTAGTTGGGAATGATATTGATTAGTTTTAGGTGAAAATCTACCGAGCCGATTTCTTGAAATTCGTTGTTGAGAAAAAAATTTGACCCGATTTTTATGAAACTTTTTTTAATGATATATATCATGGTCGTATAGAACTTACTGAAATATTACGGCCTTACGACTAGTAGTTTAATTTTAAACGTTCATCTAAGTTTAAGAAAATGAATAGTTTTTTTTGGACGATTTTACTTGGTATAACGATAGAGTACTTGGTTTTAATGAACATATCAAGCTATTGAAGTCCTATGGAAACTGGTTCAATTATAATAGTTGTTGATTTCTGAAAATTTACTTTTAGAAAATACTCCGTGTCAAAGTGTTCGTTCGTTTTCAATTATGTGTAATAAATCCACTCGGAATACTTTTAATCACTCATAAATTAATTTATTATTTACATATTATTACACATATCGGGAAGTTCATGTATCTGGCCTCAAGACAAAATACCAAACCAACTAGTTTAAAAATAGTTAGTGCTCGTGAGTGGCGTTTAAACGTACTTTTCAAAGTAAAACTTTAAAACGGTGATTCTGAGCAAAAACAGTATAGTAATCTCTACCAATCTTTACCAATCTCTACCCTGATTTTAGGTTTAAATTGATCTGGAGAATTATAGCAAATAACTTCTTTACATGCGTGAAAAATATTATATAAAATATTGTAATTGAAACCATAGATAAATAAGAATAATGATTGTAACCTTGTCAATTAACTATTGACTGTATCATTAGTTTTTAATGTTAATTTTCATCTTAAAATTGGTGAAAAACATCAGATTTTTTGTTTTATTCATATTTTGTTCGTTTATTCATATCCAACATTGTTCCAATTAGAATCCGATCAACGGAATAATCTCGTGTGCGTGAACCCTTAAATTCAGCGAACAATTAAATTTTCTGTGAAGTGGCTACGCTGTTGCTTCATAACCTCTTAAATCCGTTGCTCATATTTAATCAGTAGATAATTATAATTTGCTTGATTACTAAATTAATATTTTTAGAATTGCCAAATTAAGTACCAGCCAAGTTAGATTAAGCACAAATATTTTTTTTATAAATGTTCAAACATGGTTCCAGATAATTCAATGGTTAAACGCTTAATTATTAATTATGAAGACAAATCAAGAAGGTTCAATCAAGCTAAGAAAGATTATTCCCGACAATTTTGTCATTTATATACCGCTCGTCTCAAGTTAATGCAGGAAAATGTTTTGAAAGAAGTTTATAAAAGATTTGGTGAGAGTTAGCAGTATTTATTTCTATAGTTCAATTCTATTCTAATTTTTTTTAAATAAATAAGGTAACAAGTATCCTGTCAAGAAGCTGAGTGAAATACATGATGTAGGAGAAAATAAATGTATTTTAGTTGGAACACTATTTAAGCACCAGGAGTTGAAACCAAGTATCTTAAAAGAAGTTTCGGAAGAAAACAAACTAATTCCTTTGCCAACCAGATTTAATTTTGTTGATGATGACGATATATTGATCTTAGAAGATGAGTTAAATAGAATTAGATTAATTGGTGATATAGATATACATCAAATTGCAACAGGTGTCGTTTGTGCAGTCTTAGGTAAATTTAGTCAAATCCAAAATGAAATTTTCAGTATTCTACATTTTAATAATACTTAAATTTTAAAACTATACTAGTATTAAATACTAAAAAAAAATAGTTATATAGATATGACATTTTTAGACTTAATTATGAAATCTGTTGTTCGTTTCAGGTTGTGAATGTGCCGATGGAAAGTTTTTAATAGATACCATTATATTTTCTCATTGTGAAAGCATTCGATCAATGATCTTGCCAAAAAAAAATACAAATCCTCAGATTTTATTGCTATCTGGAATATCTTTAAGTTCTTTAACAGATAACACATTGTCTCTTCATATATTTAATGATTGGTTGTCTGGGCTTATTGGTAATGGTGAAGGATCATCTCTGGTTAGAATTATAATTGCTGGTAAGATTTTTCAGATTTCTTAAGTATGCAATATTTTGCTTTATATACTTTAATATTATTTGGTTATCAAGTTATTTTTTTTAATTCAGGTAATTCAATCAAAGGCCAGAATGAGGTAAAACAGAAAAATGCTGAATATAAGCAAAAAAATATTGAAAATATTGGCAATGATATTAAAATTATACAAAATCTTGATGATTTTTTGATGGTATGTGTATCTCAATTTTTGAATAGTAATGTTGCAAATGCTTTGCATTAGATTAATTTGTTTTCGATTTAGGGCATTTGTTCTACTGTATCAGTTGATATTATGCCTGGGGAATTTGATCCTAGTAATCATATGCTTCCTCAGCAACCACTGCATCATTGTTTATTTCCAAAAGCTCATGTGACAGGCTCACTCAGTGCTGTGACGAATCCTTACCACTGCAATATTGATGGTGAGTATATAAAAGCAGATTATAAAAATGCATTGTGACCATTTATACTTGTTTATATATGATTGTGACGTGCATTGGAACCCAAACCTACGAGTTTAATTCATTTTGTAACCACACTCATAACTTGAAGGGATTGCATTAAATCGTTGTGGTTTCTATTTTTTTTTAATAATACAAATAAACCAATTAATTTAAATATTGTTTTTTCCTATCCATTTGTTCGGATGTATTTTTTTTTTATTATATTGGCCATGAAGTTGACATCTTCATGGTATTGAGATTTTACACGTAATGGTTGCTACCCCTGGTAGAGGGAGTAGTGGAGATTTTAATAGGACTGATTGTACACTTCTAGAAGTAAAGTCCGATTAACAACATGTTTAATAAGTAATAAATAAATATATCTTCTTTCATTATAACTTAGTAACAAATCAGTGATTGTTATAAGAACTGCAACAAACACATACAAATACAAACCGAATCAGTGTTTACAGCTACAAGGGTTAAATTATAACTCAGCAGCCTGAATTAACAAAGGAGAGTTTACTAAATTTCATAAATACGTAACGTAAATACACCATTCATGATATTGCTGAAATTCGTTCAACATGTTTCATTGAACAACACCCGTGCTCAAATTGTTGCAACTTTTATAGTGCTTATAGATTATGATAAGGCCCTTAGCTAAAGTTATACATTTTATCAACTACTTCTATTTAAACACAGTACATATCTATGATGTGCTATGCTCTAACTTCCTCATATATTTCAATAATTTCATGCCTTAATTCAAGAAACATGGCACTTTATTTTGGACTTGTGGTTATTAAGCTAAATATTTTCTGAATGTAGAAAAAGCAAAAGCCGCGATTTCAACGTATATGCTATTAATGTACTATCACTATCAATATATAGTTAAAATTTCAAATGTTAAAATAATTCTCAATATATTTGCATGGATGAATCGGTACTACACAATTAATATTAATATTCATATAAAATCAAAATGACTAACTATAAAACAATTTACTATCATAAAACAACTAATTAAAGTGGTACCAAGACTAATGAGTGACTCGATATACGAGCATTTCGAGATATTTTCGTTCGCTTCGAAATACGAGCAAAATTCGAGGTACGAGCTTTGTGCGTGTAAGAGTTGTAAATACACGCAGAAAGCTCCTATCTCGAATTTTGCTCGTATTTCGAAGCGAACGAGTAGCTCTTTTGGCGGCTCGTATCTCGAAATGCTCGTATGTCGAGTCACTCATTAGTCTTGGTACCACTTTGATTAATAAGAAGCAGAAGCATAGTGTCTTTGTGAGGTTCCATATAAAAGGGATGAGTGCCTTTAGGGTCTCTTTGGAACAGTGAAGATTTCTCTCAAATAAAAAAAAATTCATAAAATGAAAAGAAATATTTATCATAATTAACTTTTTAATATAACATCAAGTTTTTGATAATGAAATTTTTTCATAAACAAAATTTATTAATTATGTATACTTTTATAACTGTAGGCTGCAATATTTTGGGTTCATCTGGACAACCAATTCAAAGCCTACTAGCTTATACCAAGATTGAATCTGCGATTGAAGCACTTAAAAATACTGTAAAATGGCGTCATATGGCACCTACGGCGCCTGATACTTTGCCTTGTTATCCATTCATAGAGAAAGATCCATTTATTATCGAAGAATTGCCTTCTATATATTTCGCAGGCAATTGCTCAGAGTTTGCTACTGATCTGTATGAAGGTAAGTAAAATATAAACTATAATATCTTCCTTGTTAAATAGAAAATAAACTGCAGTCTGAGTCGGCCTTGAAATTTTGTAGTTGCATAGGAATAATTTGTATATACATGAACGTTTTGTTTTGATGTTACTATCAATTTAATCATAATCTTAATTTACATAGTTTAGTGAATTATATTAATTCTAAATGTAGTATAATAATACAGAATAATTTTCAGATGTATCTGGTGAAAATGTCAGACTTGTATGTGTTCCTGAATTTTACAAGACTCAAACTGCAGCTTTGATCGACTTAGTATCTTTAGATTGTTATCCTATATCATTCGCTGTAGACTCATAAATATACTATAATATTAGATCACAAATATCTACTGCGTCTGCATACAGTAGATTCGTTTCATAATACTGAATCTTTCAAATAAATTTGTTGAAAATAAATTATTTTTGTTTATATATGAGTACATATATATTAGTGATGTTCCGACTCGGAAAATTCCTGATTCGAATGATTCAAATCTTTCATTTTCATGATTTCAAATCTTTGTATTAGTGAAAAATCTCAAGCAACAAATGTCTGTACTTGTTAACAGATTTCGCACCAGTTTAGGAAAGTCGGAGGTGATAAAATCTCCAATACAACCCTGCTCCGATTCACTCCGAGGGAGGAGTCATATTGGAGTGAGTTACCCACCTCTCTCTCTCTCTCTCTCTCTCTATATATATATATATATATATATATATATATATATATATATACATACATACATATACTAGCAAACCCGACGAACTCCGTTTCGCCACAAGATGGTTTCGTGAGAAAGATGAAGAAATTTTTTGTTTGTTTTATATTCGAAAAGGAAAAATGTGATTTTATTATACAACAGTAATGAATTTATTTCAATTACAAAAATGAAGTGTTTTTTAGTTGAACTTCTCTAAGTAAATGAAAGTGAATCCGCAAATTATCCGTTTTATTGAAGTGCTCTTTGGTAAACCACATTTTTTGTTTTTTGGTCTGACGTTAACACAAACAAAGCGGATGGATTTCCAACTCGTAAACAGGCAACGTATAACTGCCCATGTAAAAAACAATGATTTTCTAAATAATCTATTTGAAATTTATCCCGCAAACACTAAGCGATTGGCCTTGCGACTTGTTATTGCAAACGCAAGGCAAACTGGAAATTGCAATCGTTTGAAGTCAAACGGAAGACCAGTCGGAATCATTAGTATGTCACCAAATCGCCAGCAATTTTTTGTTGAATGGTGCAATTCAGTGCGTGTACATCATTATTCTTTGCGGCAAGAATTGCTCGTTGACAACCAAGCATAATTCTGATAACTCTCACTAATGTAATTACTCGAATTTTTAATTACGGTGCGTGAAGTTCCAGTAGCTTGCATTAAGGCACGATGCCATGCACAACTAATTTTCTTAGCTATAAACCTTGCGGGGCCCGAGACCTTTGCAACGAATGCAAAATTGTCGAAATCGGTTTGTGCGTTCTGGAGTTTTATCGTCAGGAAGGAAAACCCGACTTATTTTTATATATATATGTAGATAATCTATTTGAAATTATTTTAAACAATTGTTGATTATTTTCATTACTCGAATTTTTAATTACGGTGCGTGAAGTTCCAGCAATTTGCATTAGGGCACGATGCCATGCACCACTAATTTTTTTAACTATAAACCTTGCGGAGCCCGAGACCTTTCCAATGAATGCCAAATTGTCGAAATCGGTTTGTGCGTTCTGGAGTTATTTCGTCAAGAAGGAAAACCCGACTTATTTTTATATATATAGAAGATAGATATTTTATTGTAAATATATATACATATATACATATATTTAAGAGATATTTTATTGATATGATAAGGGTTTCTTTTCTAAACAATTAATCCAATAAATAAAAAACTATAAGTTTTTTTTGTAGATATATTTTTTTGTAGACGTTTCGGAACTAGGTACGTTCCATCATCAGGTTCTTCTGTCAAGAACAATAATAACATAATGAATATAAAATAACAAAATTGATGATGATTACAGAATATTGAAAAAAATTATAAATGAATGGTTTATGTACTTTTTCTTAAAAAATGAAGCATTAAAAAAGAAAAATATGTAAAATGTTATTACATTTTTTAAATATTTTCCTTTTTTCACTACTCTCCAGGAGTGGATGTTTATAAAAACTGTGGCAATATTTACCATGTGAATGCTACAAAAGAAAGGTTTTGAATTTGTTGTCGGTAATTTTATACAGTGCTTTGATGTGAGCAGTGAAGTTTCAAGTGATAAACATATGGATACCAATAACATCTAAAAACAAGTATTGAGTGAGCTGGTCATTTGAGCTTTAGGAAACAAACAATGATGTAGTGGTGCTGAGTAAGCATATGATGCAGTAGTTGCTGGGAAAGCATATGAATACAAGGATCAAATTTCCCAGACATAATAATAATGAGCAAAATAAAAGATAAAGAATGCATAATTTAGCAACTTGGGTGGGCTCATTAATTAAGTTATCAATGGGGAATGCTCTCTCTTGTTGGAATGTGGTGATATTAAAAATCGATGAAGAGATTTCCTACTGATTATATATAACAGTTTTGATTTAACAAGTAAAAGAGCGCATCAAAAATCGTGCTTTACACGTGGGGACCGCATCAAAAATGATCTTCCAGATAACCCATATCGTGTGCCTACCGGAGGGCAAGTGGTCCATTAATGTAATTGTGTTGTGTGCCACCGGTGGCCATGCAGTCTTCAAAGTGTTAAAAACAATAATTGTCCTATGCAGCATGCACCCTATTTATTCGATGAATGATTTTTTAACTTCCCGAAGGAGAAGTTTATGTTTTCATCAAAAAATCCGATTCGCTAATTTTATGTATTCTCGACGTTTCAGGCCATTCTGAATCGAATGAGACCAAATTTGGAAAATGTGTGTGTGTGTGTGTGTGCGTGCGCACCAACAGATTTTTTGCCGTAAATCGCCGTTTTCTCAAAAACGGCTGGACCGATTTCAAAAATTTAAAAGCCATTCGAAGTATCTCGATGAGGACTATTGTTTGTCAGTTTTGTGCGACGTTCGGCCAAGCCGTTTTTTCGTAAATAGCAGAGAAGTGAAAAGTTTTTCGTCCACGTTTTAGCCCGCAGTTCTGAATCGATTTTGAAAATTCAAAAATCGTTCGAAAAATATTGGGAATCGACCTGATTAGTTTTTGGCAGATATCGGCGGGGCCGTTTTCTTGTAATAAAGTTTTTTAAAAAAAATTTCGACGATTTTTATGATTATTTTTTTGACGGTAGATACCATAGTCTTCTATATCATACTAAAATATTACGGCCCTACGACAACTGGTTCAAAATTAACTTTAAAAATTCGTCAAAGTTTGCAAAAATTGGTATCGTTTTTTTGGCATTTGCCAAAATTAGACCTTTGATCGCCGTTTTCTCAAAAACGCCTGAGCCGATTTTAAAAATTTAAAAGCAATTTGATGTATTTCGGTGAGGACTATCGTTTGTCAGTTTTGTGCGACGATCTGCCAAGCCGTTTCTTTATAATTTGAAAAAAAGTGTTAAACTTTTCGTCCACATTTAAGCTCATCCTACCGAACCGATTTTAAAAAATCAAAAACTGTTCGAAATATATTAGTTGGGAATGGTACTGATTAATTTTAGGTGAAAATCTACCGAGCCGTTTTCTTGTAATTAATTGTTGAAAAAAAAATTTAAGCCGATTTTCATGGAACTTTTTTTGGCGATATACATCATGGTCTTATAGAACTTACTTTACTGTAATATTACGGCCTTACGACAAGTAGTTTAATTTTAAAAATTCGTCAAACTTTGCTAAAATTATTATCGTTTTTTTTTAAAGTAGGATTGATGAAGTATATTATTTACACATTTTTTTTTTTGATTAAGTCGATTATTTACACATATCGGGAAGTTCATGTAACTTGCCTTAAGGCTAAATACCAAACCAACTAGTTTAATCTAGGTTTATCTAAACGCAAAAAAACTAAATAATGTCTTGAGAATATTTTAATATTTTATTATTGATATCCTATAAATCACGTTCCAGTTCTTCAAAACTAATTTCATGAAAATGATTTCAACATTCAAACATTTAAAAATAAAATAAAATATAATGTGCCCAAAAGTGCATCCAGAGAACTCAATAAATTCATATATGCATATATTACAGATTAAACTTTATAAAATTAAATACGTATATGAAAATATGAAATGAGTGAGAAATAATTTAGTATGAGTAAAACCTTGAGATTCACATTCTTTTTCGTATGATTTATTTTCCTTTCTGATCATGTTCTTGTATATGCTTATTTAGGGTTTTAGCACTATTAAAACATTTTCCACAGAAATTGCACTTCTGAACTACTTGCTCTTCCATATGAATCTTTTTATGAACAGTCAAGTTGCTAGACTGGGTAAAGGCCTTATCACATACATCACATTTATAAGGATGTTCCCCAGTATGAACTCTCTTGTGAACTTTTAAGTTACTTGATTGATTGAAAGTCTTATCACAAATATCACATTTATAAGGATGTTCTCCGGAATGAACTCGTAAATGAGCCCAAAGAGCACTATTGTGAACAAAACTCCTGCCACAAATATTGCAATGAAATGGTCGTTCACCTGTATGAGATCTCATATGATCAGATAATGTTCTTGCGAGTATAAATGATTTACAGCAAATCTTACACTTAAAAGGGCTATCACCTGTATGAGTTCTCATATGCATGCTCAAGGTGTTAAAATACTTATATTTTTTACCACACACGGTACAACTTACTGGTTGATTATCAGTATGAGTTTTTAAATGAATTTTTAAAGCGCTTTTTTCTGAGAAAGTTCTATTACATGTTTCACATTTATGTGGCCGCATTCCCGAATGAGCTCTCATATGCTTTATGAAACTATCTGGTTGTCTGAAGGTTTTACCGCACTGAGTGCAAAGGTGAGGACGTTCTCCAGTATGAATCCTTTTATGCATTGATAATGTATCAGGTGAAGCAAATGATTTGCTGCATATCTCACACTTAAATGGACGTTCACCAGTATGAGTTCTTAAATGATTTTTAAGGTGTGTTGCTCGGCCAAAGCTTCTATCGCATATATTGCATTTATGAAGTTTTATACCTGTAAATATAATTTTAAAATATATATATATATTTATACAATTAATACAATTTATATATATATATATATATATATATATATATATATATGAGTAAGTTCTTGTGGGGCGATACATCAAAGAATAAAAAGCAAAGATTTATAAATTAATCTTTATTTCCAAACGTTTCGACATTCAATTTAATGTCATCATTATTAATTAATTAATTATTTAGATTAATTTATAAATCTTTGCTTTTTTATTCTTTGATGTATCACCCCACAAGAACTTACTCATATATCTCAACATCAAATATACTGATACCATGGATTATTAAACTAATTGTAAGTACTATTAACTCTTTTTATTTATAATTATAACTTTTTTATTAATAACTAAATGATGGCTATAGCCAAACATATGGATGTAAAATAAATTTTTGAAAGAAATTCAGGTTTTTTATTGATGTTATGCCTGATTACTAGACTTTGTTAATATATATATATATATATATATATATATATATATATATATATTAATTTGGAAATATGAACAAACAACACTCTTCTTGCACTAATTTATTAAATAATAATTTTCACAAACGTTTCGAGACTAGGTTTGTCTCATCATCAGTGTGTTATAATTAAAAAAATTTTAAAATATGGAAATCTAAATTAGCATTTTGTGTTTTTCATTACAAGTCGTTCACTGCACGCTGCTCTTTTAATACCAACGGTCTTCGGTATTCGTATTCTCTCCCACTTGAAAAACACAAAATGCTAATTTAGATTTCCATATTTTAAAATTTTTTTAATTATAACACACATGTATACACACACAACATGTATATATATATATATATATATATATATATATATATATATATATATATGTATATGGTGAAATATATAGTTGTCAATAATTGTATATAATAGCTAGTTGAAAATAGTTCAACCTGAGTTCTGTAATGATGCTTATTATATTCAACAGTTTTTTAGTTGTTTTTTAAATTACCTGTGTGGACACGCATGTGTGCTGAGAGATTACTTTGGTCACTAAAAGATTTTGCACACAATTTACATGTAAAAGGTTTTTCTCCTGTATGCGTTCTCAAATGAACTGTTAGGGCACCTGCCTCTTTGAATGATTTTTTGCATATTTCACAAAAAATATTTCGTTTTTTCTTTACTTTCTTTGACAACTTATTCTGGTTTTCTGTAATAGGTGATAGTGAATTTTCAACTGAAGGTAAATCAACATTCTGTAATTTTTGGTTGTCAAGTTCATAATTTTGAGGAATGATATTTTCTTCAATTTTCTCTAATGAAGCAATATAATTGTCTTTACATTCAGTGTCTACATTGCTTACAATTTTATCAATATTTATTTCTGATGTATTTATACATGGAGACTTGTTACTGATGGAGACTGATATACTATCTGGATATGTGTTGTTTAAATTTATATTTGCAACACATTTGTTTGAAGTCAATAATAAACTGTCATTCAATTCAGATATTTGTGCTTCTTCAATATCTACTCCCAAATTATTTTCTCTTTCACTAATATCATTTGCATTCACATTATCATCATACAAAAATTGTGAAGTAGCATCATTCGCTGATTGTGTTTCAAAATTTGGAATATGAAATATCACATGTCGAATAAGATGTAAAGATTCAGAAAATACATCGCCACATAAAGGGCATTGAAATAAACTCTTCTTAACATGTGTTTTAAAATGTGATGATAAAGCAGAAAAATTAAAAAATGTTGTAAAACATATTTTACATTGTTGCGTTGTCTCAATATGAGATTGCATATGAATCAATAAATCCTGAGTTTTCTTTGCACAAGTTTCACACTTTTGAGGAATGCAATTCTGAGGTTTTTCAAAACGTCCTTTAGAATCTAGCATTTTCATATTTTGAAAATCGTCAAACATCATTATTTCACAAGTCATATTGGTCGGACATAAAGTTATATTCAATGGTTAAATTTTGTAGAACTTCCACCAAACTTACATTGAATTATTGTTTAGTATAATTATTTATTATTTTTATAAAAAGTTGCATCAGTAATAATAAAGACAATTTTTTAATTATATTTGTCTGAAGGAAATCTACATTTTTGGCCTTCACATTAATTCAGATATTATATTATATTAGAACATTCAAGCCCTAGACAATATATTGATTATATATTTCAAGATTTCGATGTATGATTTAAGTCAATTGTTATAAAGTTATTTGTTTACTTTTACTTTTTAACAAATCTTAATTTTGGAATGTGACAGGTAGATTTTGAAGATGATGAATGTAGAGTGTAGATGTCACTGCTAAATAATTAACGCCCACAATTGATAAACTATTTGGTATTTTGCCTTGAGGCAATTTACATGAGCTTCACGATATGTGTAAATAATCGACTTAATCAATAAAAAATAGATCAATTTATGAGTGATTAAAAGCAACGAACATGTTAACTCTGAGTATTTTTTAAAAGCAAATTTTCAAAAATCAATCAGTTTCCGTACGACTTTAATGGTTTAGTTTGTTTATTAAGACCAAGTCAGACCAAGTACTCTATCGTTATACAAACTAAATTGTCTAATTTTCGTTTTAACAAACGTCAAAAAAACTACTCATTTCCAGTATCATTCCCAAATAGTATCTTTAGAACAGTTTTGATGAGCTTAAATGTGGACGAGAAGTTTAACACTTTTTTCCAAATTATAAAGAAACGTCTCGGCCGATCGTTGCACAAAACTGAGAAACGATAATCCTCATTAAGATACATCAAATGGCTTTTAAATTTCTGAAATCGGTTCAGACGTTTTTGAGCAAACGTCGATGAAAGGTCTCAAAATGCCAAAGAAACGATACTAATTTTTGCAAACTTTGACGAATTTTTAAAGTTAAACGAGTTGTCGTAGGGCCATAATATTTAAGTATGATCTAGAAGACTATGGTATCTACCGTCAAATAAAAATCATAAAAATCGTCGACTAATTTTTTTTAACACTTTATTACAAGAAAACGGCCCAGCCGATCTCTACCAAAAACTAATCAGCGTGATTCTCAATTTTTGAATTTTCAAAATCGATTCAGAATTGCGGGCAAAAACGTGGACGAAAATTTTTCCACTTTTCTGCGATTTACAAAGAAACCGCCTGGCCGATCGTCGCACAAAACTGACAGACAATAGTTCTCATCGAGTCATCGAGATACATCGAATGGCTTTTAAATTTTTAAAATCGGTTCAGCCGTTTTTTGAGAAAACGTCGATTTACGGCAAAAAATTTGTTCACATACACGCACACATAATTGATTTTTATTATTATATTGTTTTATTTATTATTATATTGTCTAGGCACGAATCGTATTTTTTGATGAAAACAAACTTCTCCATCGGGAAATTAATAATAGCACAAAAAATTTAATTATCCGCATTAACATTGTTAAAATATTATTTTAAATCGATGAGTTGTGATTCCACAACTCAATAATATGAGAATCTTCCGCAAAATTCATATTATGCCAAAATCCAAAATCTGAACAGGCGGGCCAGGCATGTTATTATATTGTCTAGGGGCCAGGCGGTTTGTTGCGTTGCTATTAAACCACCCGAAGCTGCCCGAAGCTGCCCGAAGCATACCAAATGCCAAGTGACAGCCGAGAGACAATTTAATAATAACAGTGACAGTTCGTGGACTTGTTTGTTACCTTACAGAATCAAAAGCAATACATTTGTGATATGCTAGCCAAATATTAGAATTAAGATAAATAAATTGTGATAATGTGCTTATGTGATATGCATACATTCCATAGAATTTTGTGACAATAGTTTTTGTGAAAATGAATTCAATTCCACTTCCTAGAGGATTAGTGCTGAGTACCAATGATGTTCAGACTTGGAAAGGATGGTGCTTATTGAATGATAGAGAAATCGTTAGGATATCAGCAGAATTAGGGACACAAATAAATTTGGCACAAATATTTATTGCAGCTCGAAGAAGTTGGGATTTGGATGAAGTTGAGAAGTGGTATAAGGCTGAGGTAAACGCAATAGAATGCAACTATTATAATAATTCTTTCTTATTTGTTTTGTTTGATCCAAAGGTCACTGCTTGGGTGATTCAACTTTTATCTGCAGGAGAAATAACAATCACTGTACAAATACTTGAGAATACTAAAATTGATGTTATCACACAGTTATTGGTGATAGCCATTGAGGTAAAAGACAGAAAAACAATTAAAACAGTTTCAGACTATCTAAGCGTTTGTGTGAAATCAGAAATAGATGAAATTCAAGACAACATAAATAATTTTCTACATCATTTTTATTTATTGAATTCTCTGGAAAGTTATTTGTTAAATAATCAACAACTGGAAATAATAATTTTGGAGAATGATTTATTAAAGACTGAACTAATTACATTAGAAGAAACAAAAAATTACACAGTTCAAGATATACAAAAACAAAGTAAAATATGGAAATCAAAAATTGCAGCTAGATTATATTACAATTGTCTTGGTAAGTTCTGAAAATCGCTTTATACTCATAATTATTTTTAAATATATATATATATATATATATATATATATATAAATATAAAATGTATTTATATCCTCGATATAGAACCTCTATTAACCGGACTAATTGTCATCCAGATAATCGAAAATCTGGATAATCCAATGTATGAAGAATATTGATGTGTATTTATCAAAAATAGCAAATGCATACATAGATATCAACGAAAATCAATGTTTCATAACAAATTAACAATTCCTTTCCTGTATGTACAATTGTACATATATATTTTCTTAGTTTATATTACATAAATATACTAAATTGCAGCATAAATCGTGCAAAAATTCAAATTGTAGGTATGTACATACATATAGCTCTGTCGCAGTTGGTTCGGATAATCATATAACCGAGGTCCGGTTAATCGAGGTTCTACTATATATATATATATATATATATATATATATATATATACATTTTTATATTTTAAAATATTTTTATATTTTGATCTTACAGATTTCAGGTTAACTGTTTTTCTTGATGCAGAAACATCGTGGGAAGATTTACTACAAAGCAATAATATTAAATATCTAAAATCTTGGTTATTCACATTTTTTACAAAATGTAAATATCCATATACTGAAGCAACAGATGTAGTTGATTTCCATGAATTATTTCAGTCTTGGGAAATCACTGATAATATGATCTCTAGGATTGCATGCTTCCCTTGCATGGACTTCACAAAGGAGGAACTTTATGATTATATGACGACATTTGGATACTTTATTGAAGTAGAAAGAAAAAATATAGTTCTTCTTTTACGTAGATTATCTAGAAATAGAGGCTCTAGTACAATCAGTGATATTTTTAAACAAAAATCTTCAAATATATCTTCAGATCACTTTTTCAAGCTGTTAGTTGATTATTGTGAATCTAAAGAGTTGAAAACTGTGATAACAAAATGTATGAGTTCTCGTTTATTTTATAATGATTTCATACATAATATCTCCACAATTGATAAGGAGCACTGGATTAATGTATCAATCACATTTTTGGATCTTATTCAAAGTCCAAATGATGAATCCATAATACTAAAGTGTATTAACTATGCATCTAATTATTTAGCTGGCAATAATATAAATCAATATCTAATTGAAAACCCTTATGTCTACATAGCCACAATTTTATTTGACAAAACCAAGAATTTGTCTACTACATTTTCTCAAAAAATTTTAGATACTTCTAGTGAAAATGTTGAAAAACAAGTGGTGGAAAAACTTCCTCATTTAAAACATTTTTTAGCATTACATCATGAAAATAAAAAAGTTTTTCATAGTGATATATTATTAAATGACATACTTCAAGAACACTGTGATATTCAATTAATCAAAATTGAAGAAAGTGATGTAAATTTTGATAACATCCACTTAACAAAAAAATTTGGCCATAAAGCAAAATTAACTTATGATTATTATATAAAAAGTTGTGCTCCTTGTTTTGCGATATCTTTATATGCTAATGGATTATTAGACGAGAAAAACATGTGCTTTTCATCTGATGGTGCTTCTAATGTTACCTATAAATTAATCATGAAAAATTGGAATGACATTGAAGTTTTTTGTTCAGGCATTTCATTTATGATTATTTTAGGTATGGATTGCTGCAATCTTCGAAACTATATTAATGCAGCACATTTCATCCGAAATGAAAGTCTGAAATTAACATATCATGAAGGAAAAGTATTTGATATAAATCATATAACAAAATTATTAGAGAACATTACTTCGGATGCAAATCTTGTAGAATTTCTTTCACTCATAGAAAGAACAAATATGAATTGCGCAAATCAATCATTTATAAACATTATCTCTCAATGGAAAACTACATATAATATTTGTGTATTACATAATATTAGAATGACTAATTCTTTTCTCATATTTTCTGCAAAAATTGATAAATGGATCTGGTTTTTATTATTTGCTCAGATTTATCTCTTTGTGCAAGAGCAAGTTTCTGAAGCAACTAAATATTTTAATAATTATGCATTACAAACTCATTTGGCTGCTGCTCTGGAAAATAAATTAGAAGTAAGTTGATTTTAAAATTGATGGGCGCTTTACACGGTTTGATTATTTGTATAAATTCAAAAAAATTGTAAGTGGGTGTAGGATATTCATGCAAACTTGCATTCAAACAACTTTGTATTATGCGGAGCGCCTATAACATTATCATAGCATTATTTATTTGTATATATATATATATATATATATATATATATATATATAGTATGTATATAGTATGTATGTATTATTTAATTATCAGCAGAAATCAAATGTTCATGAGGATTCAAAGAAACCTACTAATTTTTGGAACCTTATTCAAAATGCTTATAATTATGACAATTCCGGCGAAGTTTTACTAAATATTTGTACAAGTCACAAAGGAAATCCAATATTAGCTGTTATTGCTGCTTGTTACAGGGTAAATATTGCTTTACACACACACACACACACATATATATATATATATATATATATATATATATATATATATACAATATGAAAAGTTCCAGCAATTTGCCTTAAGGCACGATGTCATACACTACTAGTTTTAAATTGGTTTAGTAGTATTTGTCACCCAATTCAGTGATTTTGAATGCCGATTAAACATAAAACTATAATTATATTTATATGATTATATTTTGGGACACTACTTTATCGAGCAATTTAAAATATTTATTTATTTATTATTAATTTGGTATTAAGATCGATTTAATAACTAAATCTAAATTAATAATTTATTTATATATCATTAACTTCAATTAACAAATATTTAACACTATAGCAATGTGTTTAATTTTTAGCCTGAACATTTAATACTTTGTTGGTATACCTGGTTGTGTAGTGCTACAGGTTATATAAATTTAGATAATGGTGAGACGTTGCTAAACATTTCACCTGAAGATATTTCCTCATTGATAAATTTCTGTGTGATAGAAGGATTTGTAACACAGTTAAATGAAAGTTTACTAATATTTGTGCCTGTGAGTATGTTGCATATATTGCATTTATATATTTATTTCCCAGACACTCTAATTCTTATTATCTTGATTAATATTTTCAGAGCAGTTGTTTTGCTTTCTTCACTAATATTTTAGTGCGAGTGATTGTAAACAATGAGATTGGATGCGATATTACCAATTTATTAGTGGCTTTCAAAAATATCACTATGCATTTACATATTATACCTCATTTGACTATAAATAGTATATTTGAGGATAGAAGATGGCTTATAAACAAAGCTATTGACCTTTGTTGCATAGCTTTAAGTTATAATTTTATGTCATTTTATCATTGTAAAGCCTTTCTAAAATGCCTCTCTGAGTCAAAATTAACAAAGAATATTGACACGGATGTAAATTTTGATGATTTGTTAAATATATTACAATGTTTGTATCACACAAATGTTAATTTAAACATTTCATCTATATTGTTATCAAATAATGAAGAAATAATACAGAATGAATACAGCAGATGCTTAAAACAGTTAATTAATGGCCATTATTTTGAAAATGCATTTAAGTTTGCTGAAATCACAAACATTAATACAGATGATATTATTATTGCTCATATGAAGTATAGATGCAATAATCTTCTTACGGATGTCTCTAATTATATGAATTACTGGTTGGATTGTAATAAAATATTCAATGACTCGAAATTGGTCAATAAAAATGCTACAAGTTTATTTTTAGAGTTTGCTGAGAATTCAAATAATCCCAAACTAAGATATATTTTATATCATTTAGCATTGATTTCGGAAAACTCTGTAGAAAGTAATTCAAAAAATATGGATGAGATTGAGAAGAAGATGTGGATTAATTATATTGATATTGAAAATCCAGATGATGTTATGTTATACTCATCTAAACTATCAGATTTTAACAATACACCAGTAATATTACATAATTCAATTGATGAATTAAAGATAAAAGCATGTATCAATAATTTGACAATATCTGATTATCCATTAAGCACAGAACAATCTAATAACTTATTCAAATTAATATCCATGTTGCTCGATTTAGGAGATTTTATTACAGCCTTGAGAATTCAAATGATGTTTATGTTTTCACACTCTGAATTGCAATTGTTGATCACAATAATGGCTTTAGCTGAAAGTTCATTAAGTCCATACCAAATGACACCGGCACAACGAATGACTTTGTTACAAAGTAAATGTGTACGAACAGCAAGTGGGCAATTTGGGAAACGTACTTTGAAATCTAAAATTTCTTCAAGCAACTCTGGTATGTACATTGCATTACATGCTTTTTCTTGCATTGATTTTTAAGTTATTTATTGTAGATATTACTCTGGATTAAAATGTTTACCATTTTTCAAATTTTTATTTAATGAATTGTTTTAACTGGAGCATTTTTATATCAGCATGGGACACTAAATCACTAAACACATAATATATGAAATTCCAGTATATGAGCTTTTATGTTTTCTAATGTAAATAAGAAATTTGTTTTGTAAGTATTTGCACATAAAATTTTTTATGTCTTTTCAAACTATAAAAACTAATTATGTTCTGAATATATTTATAGTTATCCATTGTATTGTCTATGTTACCATTATACATGCTTAATTGTAGAGAATTCAATAAATATTTTACTTGCGATTGTTACTACATCAAAGCATTTAAGTAAGAATGCTATTATTGCTTCTAATTTGATTCTTGTTTTAATTTTTTTAGTATGTGGTAGTCCCAACAGTAGCTTTGCAAGTTCAATGTTTTCTGACTATATTGAAATACCATCCCGGGAAAAGCAAGATACATTATGTACCATTGAAGCTTTGGCAGCTCGTTTGAAAGCTGGGCGTTTCTCTGGACAAAGAATTGTAATGTGTTATAGAGCAGCAATGCATATGGATGTAAACTATTTAGATATATTAAGGGAGAATGATGTTTTGAACTTATTAAAACAAGCTATTAATGGCAATTGTTTGAATAAACTGGTTGTTATAAGTGATATTATAGGCGCTAGTGGATTTACATCATTACAGGTATAGCAAAGTATCCATATTTTAACAACTTATTTTTTTTTATTTTATGAACTTAACACAATTATTTTATATGAGAGATTTACTTATTTAACAGTCAGTTGATATATATTTAAAAAAATGATTTTTATAGATAGCTGAATTTTTGGCATATGAAATATTCAAAGCAATCTTACAAAGTATAAATGTTAAAACCAAAAGAGATGTATCAAACTTTAATGTAGCAACACTGTGGGGCTATAACTTAAGTGTTGATTTTCATCTTTTCTTGGAACTTTGTCCCAATCCAAGTGATATTGGAAATGAGTTGCTAAAATATCAATCCTCGATACAACAGATAATTAATAGTTCGGCTGCAAATAGAAAAGATAAAGGAAATATAACTGAAACACAAGCAAAAGTTGCCAAAGCATTAGAAAACACTAAAAAGCTTACAATTATAGATATAAATACAGTATGTGTGGACATTTTGATATATGCGCATGATAGTTTCACAAAGGATTGTAATATTGAAGGAATTTCATTAATCTTAGGTAGAGCACATATGCTATGTTCACAATTGCTCCAAACTAAAAGTTGGGGATTAATGGTTAAACTATTAACTGGAATTTCAAGATATACAGAAATGACTTATATATTTGATATTATAAAATCCAACCATCAATTTGAATTTCTTTTGAGTCAATTCAACTACATCTTGAAACAGCATGATTCTAAAAAAAATGATTTAAAAATGGCTCTTTTAGAGTTTTTAAAAACATATTGGCCCCAAGATTCCGAACTTAAAAGATTAGTTGCATTGCATTTCCAAATGCATAGTGAAGTAGCTGAGCTTCTGAATATTGAGGCTACTGAAATTATAAGAAGAATGATTAATATTTCCATGCTGGATATGACAAGCAATGATTTGAATTTTAAAGATTTTCCAGTTAAGTGTCCACCCTTTGTATTATTAGAGAATACAGCTGAAATTCGAGATTGCTTAATTCGGGCTATGAACACATATAGTCATAGCTCCGAATATTATGTACAGGTGAATTAACTCCGCATACTCATAAATGTGAATTTTGATATCTATAGTGTACTCTTGTTAATAATATTTTTTTCCAGCAAAATAAACTTTCACTAGCAATGAAGTCAGCGGCCAAAGCAGAACTTGTAGCATGTCAAATTGATTTACTGAATAAGACACCTGCTGCTAGTAAGGGGCCAAGTGTTATATGCATTTTACAATTAAAACCAGAACAAATTCCTTATGTTGTTAATAAAGTATTGAGGTAATGTAAATGTAGGCAACATTATGCTACGTTTTCATTTTCAATTCTCCCTTTAGTGGTAAATTTTGATAAATATATGTTTACATTTATTTAAATAGCATTATGTTTCTCCAAGTTTTTATTTTTTTCAATTATAAACTTATGGGAATTAATTAATTACAGTTTTCATCAAGCAATTATACTTCAACGAGCCTATGACTACACTGTTAATTGGGTTTCTGCACTATATGAACATTGTATAATAAATGGTGATATGCAATATTTAAATTCCTACAATAAATATTTCAAAATAACGGAAAATATAGCTTCAGAATTAGCAATGAGGTGAGTTTATTATTTTTTTTTTAATAGTTTGTATTTCATTTTTATATTATATTTTTTTTATAGATTTCAGAAGGAAACTAGAATAACTAAACAAATGATTCAGTCACTCAGATGTGTGGTTGGATGTCTAAATTCGATTGCTGATCGTTATCGTTTGGCATCATTATTGGGACAAAGAGATATTGTCGAAAATATTCTCTCTTCTGAAAGTGTTTGTTATCTTAAAGATACTGTTTTTATTGGAAAGAAGTGTCAATAGTTAAGCTGATTAATTTATTTTATGCAAATGAAATTAATATATGAATCAAGATATTTATTTTATATAACATTAACTCAAAAATATAATGAAATATATTATTTTTATTATTTAATTATTTATTTTATTATTTAATAAATAATTGAATGAAAATATAGTTTTAGTTGAATATATTCAATATATTGGATGTTTCACATATATGGTTAATAATTATTCATAGTTATAATTTCACTATTATTCAACTAATTGTAATATGTTTGATGGCGTATTTACAGTTCATATATAATTCACTAAGTTATATTTTTATTCATCTGTAATAAAAAAAAATCAATGATGATGGGACAAACCAATGTCTCAAAATGCAGCCTTTATATCAATCAATATATAAATATCAATATAATATCAAACATATAATCAATGTATACATAATGATTGTTTTTTTTTTATTAACTTCTTGAAGGAAAAGTTTTTGTTTGTAGAGAAAATAAATGTATATGGGTATGTGAGACGATTTTTGACCTCAAATCGACGTTTTCTCAAAAACGTTCACATCGATTTTAAAAATTAAAAAGCCATCTGATGTAACTCGATAACAATTCTTATTTATCTATGGATAAGGATTCACGTTTTTTAGTTTTTGCGCGACCATCGGCAAATCAAAAGTGCACCTCGTTTTAACCAGAAATCCAGCGAATTAAAATGCATCCGGTCTGAGAGTCGTTTTTTACGTTTTAAGTGCATATGAAAATATTATATTTTAGGTTTTGCATTCTGCTGTGGAAAATGCTCTTTATCCTAGGTAATATAATAATTTCTATTTATGATCTAGACAATATATAATATTGTAATATTAATTATATTGTCTAGGATGTGCAAAAATTAAGGCTTTGTATGTGCACAACATATTATGTATATATCAGGGGTGTCAAACTCAACTCTGCAGCGAGCCATATATTAAATCTTGAATTCATAGATAAAAGAAGAGTATGCTTGAATTCATACGCGGGCCGGATTGAAAATAAACTAGCGTAAGTGGTATTTTGCCTTAAGCAAGATTGTATAAACTTTTCGATGCACATCATAATGAACGTAATCAATAATAATTGAGATTTAGGTATTTAAATAAAACTTTCAATTATTTTTTATTTCGAATATAAAGTTTCTTTCGCCAAAATGCGATTTCTAATTGATATATTTCAAACAGATCTTTAATATATGTAATTGTGTTAATTATAATATGTGCTTGTATGTCTTAAAAGCACAGCCCAATATATACAATTCCGACGAATTTTTATAATTAAACAAATTTCCGTAGGCTCTATCACCGTCTTCAAACTCGTTCTAAAACAAAACGGCTCAATTTGACTTTTACTTATTTATAAACAATCTCTCTTCAGTATGAACCACTACGAAAAAAAAACGATAGTAAAAATATCGTTTGCCTTCTTTACAGCTTTTCAAATAATACATGAAACTCATATCTCAAAACTAAAAGACATCCTTAAGTATGAATGGTTGTTCAACAAATTTTGAACGTTGAATTTTTATAATTGAACCATTCGTCGTAGGGCCCTAATATTTTAGTATGTTCTTTAAAACCATGATCACTATCACGGCACTATCACTATCCTCACCAAGTCGGTGTTTTATTACGAAGAAACTGCCCGGCCCATCTTGATCAGAGGATGATCAGAGGCTAATTAGCAAGGTTTCCAACCAATATCTTTCAAACTTTATTTTAATTTTCAAAGTTGGTTCAATATTTTTGGCCAAAAAATTTGTTTTCTTAGTGGTTATTATAAACCCGCAGTTTGGGCGATTGTTGAAAAACACACGAGTTTTTAACGAGTTACATTGATTGGTTTGAAAATTTTTGAAATCAATGCAGCTGTTTTTGAGGAAGATAGCATAGCCGTCGCACATAGTATGCACATAGTATTGTTGGTCTCAAACGCTTCAGAGTGACTTAATACGCGTAGAAAGCATAAAATTAGGAGAAAAGATATTTTAGCAAAAAAAAACTTTTTATTCCGGGAAATAACAATAAACTGAATTATTCACCTATTAACTTAAATCTGTATATAATGCACGGTTGTTTAACAATTATAACAAAGTTATGTAAATTGGAATCTAGAAAAATACTAGTTATTGAAATGGATCCTTGAAATTGAAAAGGAATCATCAAGAATTTCAGTCTAAAAGTTTTGAGAAATCAATTCATTCTTTTTTGAAGTTTTCTAAGTTCACTTTACTACAGTAAAAATATTCTTTGCCGTTTTTGTGGCCTTTCAAAAATCACATGATACTTATACTAGACTACAATATCCCCTTAAACAACTAAATTCGTATATCTAATTTAATATGAATATTTTACTGTACATAAATGTGTTTTGTGTGAACATAGTTGAGAGAATAAGTATTGAAATCAAGTTTAAAATGTCTAAAAAACATGATTCTGTTTTCTGTGACACAATGCGAACGCGGCCGTATCGATTTAGGCCAGAGGCCGGATACGACCCGCGGGCCGTATATTTGACATGTCTGGTACATATTGTGGTACTATGATACTGTTGGCAGCATGAAATAAACTATGACGAATCGTTAGTTTGGTATTACTGCGTCACTGCCCCGTACATAATCACAAGATACAGTGTTAAATGTCAGCTGACTTAAAAATTATTTTGTGAACAATTTGCGTGAAACAATAATTTTGCAAATATGTCAGGAAAGGACAGGCTCCCAATTTTTCCCTCTAGAGGGTAAGTTTCTTAAAACTAGAGTTTCTCCGTATCAATAATATGTCGAATAGATAAAAAAAGTTAAATGTATTTAAGACATAATGATGTCCATTCTACACACTTGGATAATTAGATTTAAATTTATATTTATAACCAGATAAATAAATAGTTTTAACTTTTTTATGCAATAATTCTATATGGATTTAAAAAGTACGATTATTACTGTAGAGCACAAATGTTGATGAAGTCTCGGCTTGCTGGAGCTCAAAAAGGTCATGGATTACTTAAAAAGAAAGCAGATGCTTTACAAATGCGATTCAGGATGATTTTAAATAAAATTATTGAGGTGGGTTAAATATTGCTTTGATTAATTAATAGTCTAATGCTTATTATGATTTTTATTTAAATAACTTGTGTCAATATGTTTAGACAAAAACTTTAATGGGTGAAGTGATGAAAGAGGCTGCATTCTCCCTTGCTGAGGCTAAGTTTGCCACTGGAGATTTCAATCAAGTTGTGCTTCAGAATGTAACAAAGGCGCAAATAAAAATTCGCACTAAGAAAGACAATGTAGCTGGTGTGACTTTGCCTGTGTAAGTAATAGTTTTCAATGATCAAAATTGTATAAGTAAAATCTTGTTGAAGCTTTAGCAAAAAAATCCAAATTTACGATTGTTTAGATAGCTCTAAAACCTATTTTAGAACTAACTTGTTGTTTTGAATTGGCATACAGATTTGAATCTTATCAAGATGGATCCGATACATATGAGCTGGCTGGTTTGGCAAGGGGAGGACAACAACTTACAAAACTTAAGAAGAATTATCAAAGTGCAGTCAAGTTACTTGTAGAACTTGCATCTTTACAAACATCCTTTGTTACTTTGGACGAAGTGATCAAGATCACAAATAGAAGAGTAAACGCAATTGAACATGGTATAAACTTATTAAATATATATATAAATGATTAAATTTTTGGAAGGCATAACATCAAGTAAAAAAATATATATATCAGTGGATTTACAATTTGGAAGTAATGAAAATAAAATAAAACTAAATGAACATTGATCAACATCTTGAATTTCAAGTTAACTTCCTCTGTAGATCTTTAAGTTAACTAAATCAATCAAAATATTACAAAGACAGTTTTTACATGATCTTATTAAAATAAAACTAGCACATAATAATAAAAAATTATAACTAATTATTAATTGCAACATTGCACTATTTGGCAGTATCAAAGGAACAATAAAAATGTAATCTCCACTTTAATTTTTTTTAATTGATGTTACGCCCTCTAAGAATTTAATCATATATTTCAACATCAAATTTAACTATTTTTAACATTTCATATACATAAAAATAAATATACATAAAATGACATTGTTAAAACTGTTAAAACATTATATTTAAAGTGATCATTCCTCGAATTGAGCGCACTCTGGCATACATTATATCTGAATTGGATGAACTCGAAAGAGAAGAATTTTATCGTCTTAAGAAAATTCAAGATAAGAAACGGATTGCTAGATCAAAAGCCGAAAAGGCTAAAGCAGATCTGCTCGAACAAGGAACGGATGTCAGAGATGTTGCAAATATATTAGATGAAGGTGATGATGATTTACTTTTCTAAAAATTTTGCATAACTCAAGATCGTTAACAAAGTTTGAAGGAGTATTGTATATCAATTTTTTGATAATGTACTCTTTACAATGTTAAAAATGTATAAGCTATTGATTAAAATGTACATGAACGTATATTATATTGAGTGGCAATAATTTAATTCATGCAAATCATAATGATAAATTTGTAATTGTTTAATTTCAAGAAATTGTAATATTGTAATTCATGTAAATAATTGATTGCATTCCAAAATGTTTTTATTTTTGTTTTTATTTTAATAGTTTTATTTAAAATGTTGTTGTTGTATTATATATTCAGTATTTTAAAAAATAATAAATTTACTCCCGTTGCTAATTTGTATTTTTAATTTTATATTAAAATGATTTAATATCCTGAGATATTTTTATATTATTCACCATATATTTGCAATAGTATGTTAAAATTATTTATAATATTGGAAGATGAAAGATTTACAATATTACGTTAAAAATTATTATAATATGTAATACCCCTGGTTAGAGTGAGAAGTGATGACATTTTTAAGCAATATAATATCAATGAATATATATATATATATATATATATATATATATATATATATATATATATATATTTATGTTGAAGGCATATTATTGTTTTGCCTAGGGTTCAAAGTATTATTTCATTATACACTTTTATTATCTATGAATATATTATGTTCCAATACTGTCTATTCAATAATATGCCAATGCAATACTATACAGCAAAACCTCGATTAACCTAGGTGGACTAATTGTTGTCGATAGGCATCCGGATAATGAAAAATCCAGATAATCCAAAGTATGAAGAATATTGATGTGTATTTATCAAAAATAACAAATACATACATAGATATCAATGAATGTTTAATAAGAAATTAACATCTTCTTATGTATGATCATTGTACATATATATTTTCTTAGATTATATTACATACATATACTAAACTGCAGCATAAATCGTGAAAAATTCGAATTGTAGGTATGTACATACATATAACCCTGTAGAGGCTAGTAGTCCGGATAATCGCAAATCCGTAAACTGAGGTCCGGATAATTGGGGCATAGATAAAAGAAGAGCATATATATGTCCAGATAGTAACAATCCAGAAAGAAAACTAAACTGTATATATATATATATATATATATATATATATATATATTACAAATGTATTCTGAGTGGATAATAGATATTAATTTGGAAATATGAACAACAACACTCTTTTTGCACTAATTTATTAAATAATAATTTTCACAAACGTTTCGAGACTAGGTTTGTCTCATCATCAGTGTTATAATTAAAAATTTTTAAAATATGGAAATCTAATTAGCATGTTGTGTTTTTCATTACAAGTCGTTCACTGCACGCTGCATACCACTGTCTTCGGTATTCGTATTCTCTCCTACTTGAAAACCACTTGAAATTGTAAAGTCACTCAATCAGATAGGAAAAAAAAGATTAGGGTCCAGTTGAAAATAGATGTCGTTAGGAGAAAATCATAGAATATTTTTTCTCCTAACGACATCTATTTTTCAACTGGACCCTAATCCTTTTTTTTCCTATCTGATTGAGTGACTTTACAATTTCAAGTGGTTTTCAAGTAGGAGAGAATACGAATACCGAAGACAGTGGTATGCAGCGTGCAGTGAACGACTTGTAATGAAAAACACAACATGCTAATTTAGATTTCCATATTTTAAAAATTTTTTTAATTATAACACACTGATGATGAGACAAACCTAGTCTCGAAACGTTTGTGAAAATTATTATTTAATAAATTAGTGCAAAAAGAGTGTTGTTTGTTCATATTTCCAAATTAATATATATATATATATATATATATATATATGTATTTGAAAAAAAAAATCCTGAAATAGAGAGGAAACTAAACTTAACTGCTGCATGTTTATACAAAAAGCTATGTTACCGGCCTATATAAATATATGTTCTATGCTCTATGTTTAATTTCGGTTGTAAATATTTTTAAAATAAACTAACTAACCATAAATAAACCAACTCTTCTTTTATCTATGAAACCAACAGTCTGTGTTGTCTGAGACTTGGTTGAACAAGTTTCCTCAATTCTTCAATTTAAATAGATTTAAAATTAAAGGGTTTTCTTTGTGATTTAGGTAAGTGCAAAATAATTATTTTTATTTTGAGGCAAAGTGTTGGGCTAGATAAAAGAAGAGTATCGAGGTTCTACAGTATTAGATTCTTATCCATAGATAAAAGAAGAGTATATAGATCGCTCTCTCGGGCCATATTTCGTTGCACATTCCTGTGTTAGTTGAAGCCCCCCGCTACAGATGGCACTAGTCGCCTGAACGGGTGCGTATAAAAGATACTATAGAAATGAACCAAAATTATATGGACCGTTTTAATTCAAAATTAAAAAAAAAAAAATTGAAAAAACAAAAATTTTTAGAAGCATTTATTTTTCACAAAAACATTCTACATTATATCTACATAGTTCTCTCTATAAACAATGCACACATAGCATAGAAATGTACATAAATATACACATTATCCACAATGTGTATATATATATATATATATATATATATATATATATATATATATATAACATTATATATGATTATAATAGATGTTAGTAAGCTATATAAACTATGTGCGAAAAGCATAAAAATGTACATAAATGTACACGCTATCCACAATGTATATATATATATATATATATATATATATATATATATATGTGGTAATATCATTTTAGCATATCAGCCTTTCAAGCTGAGCACAAAAAGAATAGAAATGTACATGAAAGTATATATTATTTATATATATACATATACATATATAACCACAATTCATACCTGCATGCATAGATAAATCCTGCATGTGTATATATATATATATATATATTATATATATATATATATATATATATCTATATATATATATATATATATATATATATTTACATATATATTTATTTTGATTTACAAAAAGTTACATAATATCGATGTACAGTCTCTATTTGGGAATTTTTTCTGCGCTATTGTTAATGTGCATTCAAATGTTTGTTCAAAATGTCATTATTATCATTGTCTTAAAGAAAAACAACAATCATTGATATTATTATAACAGTACTTAATAGTTTTCTTATAGCATCTACAATAAGACATTTTAAAGTAAAGCTATTGACATCTCTTTCAGAATAGTCAAATGCAATAAGCAGTGCACATTAAGGGTGTTTTATCCCTTTGCACTAGCTAGAATTTTATCATTAATCATGATTATACTTTGCCTGTCATTTGACAGTTCCTGAAAATCTATACAATGTGATTCCCTTTATCATCATTAAACAACACAGATAATAATATTTCTTGTAATATCAAAATGAAATTATTAATACTTAAAAACTTTTCCTGTGACATAGCCAAACCTAAATTAACCTTTGCACTAGCTAGAATTTCACCATTAATTGAGAATTTCCTTCCACTTACGATTATATCATTAGTGTTTTTAGTATGTTCTCCAAACTGACTTAATATATAATTACGAGTCCTACTGTTCAATATAGTGGGAGATCAGCAAAGATTTCAGCACATTTCAGACTTCATTCTTATTGTTTTTCCTGTGTATTCATTCATCTCG